AAAAAAAAAAAAAAAAAGAAAGAAAAGAGAAAGAAAGAAAGAAGCCACAGCCAGGGTAGGTTAAACCAGAAAGGTGAGATTAGAGCAAACCCTTGAGGGTGACAGAGGCATACCACTAGAGTAAAATAATTTTAGGACAAAAGGGAAACTAGAGCAAAGGCTGTATGTCTGAATGGTGTCTGATGTGTTCTAGAAAGAGCAAGGAGGCAAGTGTAGCCAGAGTGGACTGAGAAGAGTGGCTGAGGTCAGAGATAACAGGGGACCAGGACATGCAGGGGACCTTGACCATTGTCCTGCTGCATCAAATAAACATTTATTTTATCTCTAGAATGGAAATGATTGGCTCCTTTTTCTTGCTAGTAGAAATAAAACTATAAAGCACATATTTGTCCATACAGATTTTCCATACTTGAGATTTTTCCTCAGGAAAAAATATGCTGAGATCAGAAACTAGGGCCATAAGACACTGAATTATTTGTCAACATAATGAGTAAATAATACAGCCATAATTTAAAATAGAATCTGACTGGATCTTAAAATTGAATAGCCTATACTGTGTTAAGGAAATCTCTGCAATATTTCTAAGTAAAATACATTAAGACACAGGAAAGCAAAAGAAATGCCAAAAGAATAAAGACTTTCAGATCAGTCAAAGGTAATCGAGAGAATATGCAGAAGGAAGAAAATCAAAACACTTGGCAGCAAGCTTATCGCAACATGCATTTCTTAGTCTAAAGATGAAGAAATCTGTATTGGAAAAATTGGAATTTTTTACTCTAAGGCAATAAACTCCAACTAATCTTGCTGGCTAAGCTGTTAATTTTTTTTTTAAAGCCTCCTTTACTTTTTAAAAGGGAGACAATCTCCACCAGCACCATCCACAACACCTGGAAGCTGGTTATAAATACAGTCTCAGGCCCCATCCCAGACCCACTGAATCAGAAGCTGTATTTCAACAAGATTCTCAAGTGATTTCCTATGCACATTAAAGGTCAAGAAGCTATTACAACAAATCTGTAGCCCCCCAGCCCATTCAGAGGGTCTCTCAGATCTCCCTTTTTCCAGTGTTCTCTATTTGAGAGTAGATTTTCTTGCCATGCTTCAATCAAACTAACTCATGCCAATGGATAATACAGAAGCAGATATAATTATCTGCCGATCTTCTATTAAGCCAGACATTAAGGGAGTTGCAAAAATGTAAAACATGTCGTTCTTTTCACTTTTTTTCTGTTTGTTCAGGATAAGTTATTTTTCACAAAAACTGTTATGTTAACATGTAATGAGCTTATTATTGTAACTTTTAAATAAACTAAATATTTGTAAAGTTTCTCAGTTTTGTAGATACCTTTTGATAAGACAGACAGATGGATATAACCTACATAAACAAAAGGGCTTTGGAGCCTCTAAGTTTAAGAGCATAAGGGAGTCCTATTATTAAAAAGTTTGAGGCAGTACCTTGGGAGGCTGAGGCAGGTGGATCACGAGGTCAGGGGTTCAGCACCAGCCTGGCCAATATGGTGAAACCCCGTCTCTACTAAAAAAAAAAAATACAAAAATTAGCCAGGTGTGGTGGGATTACAGTACCTGTAATCCCAGGTACTGAGGAGGCTGAGGCAGGAGAATCGCTTGAACCCGGAAGCGGAGGTTGCAGTGAGCAGAGATGGCACCACGGCCCTCCGTCCTGGGCAAGAGTGAGACTCTGCCTCAAAAAAAAAAAAAAAAAAAAAAAAAAGTTTGAGGATCACTTCTTATAATGTTTCAGGGAAGAGTTAAGTATGTATTTTAAAGATATATACTTAAAGAGAAAGTCACCTTTTCAATGAAGCCTTCCCATACCACCCCAGGAAGAACAGGCATTTTATCTCGTAGCTCTCAAAGTAAATTAGAGTACTTTACACCAATGCTGTCATTCGCTAATTTGCCAGTTCCTTCACTCTTATTAAATAATGAATTCTCCATGCTTCCAATTTGTCTACCCAGTGAATAGGCTTTATGCATCAGATGGTATCTGAAACTTTTGATCACATTATAAAGACCACCTTAATAGTCACTGAGCCACTTAGACTCTCCGTTCATTAATCCTCTGTATTTAAAGGATTTGTTGATAAATCCAAAGCTAATTTCATTGTCTGATGGAACACTCCCCAGGTCATTTCTATCCTGGCTTGTCCTGGACACTTTTGGTCCGCGCTGCAACCCGGGCACTGAGTCCTGCTCCCAGGTTCACCACCGCGCGGAGGGTCTAAGCCGCGGGGGCGCCGGGTTCACAGTTCGAACTGGGACAAAGAGCTAGCCACTAATTTTTTAAAGAAAAAAATGACAAGGGCACAATTCATTTAAATAGTTGCCTACTTTAAGTAAATCAATTTCCAACGTTACAAAATGAGCTTCATGTACATTTCACAGCCCTCTCTCCTGCAGCCGGGCCCAGGGGGTGACCACCTCCTCCCAAAACGCAGGCTTCCGCGTCCCACTGCAGGCTGTTGAACTAGACGGGCTGTACTGAGACTCCGGAGTGAGCTTCTGGGAAACTCGGTTTTCCCCCGGGTGGGCTCCGTCCGGGCAGCACGGCTGACACCCCTTTTTTCTCCGCCCCGAAGCTGGTTGCGCCCAGGCCGCGAGATCGGGGAAACAATGCCAGCCCTACCCCGTGCCAGAGTAGGGGCGCACTCCCAGCAGCGCGCGCACCTCCCGCTTCAAACCAGCCACCCGAGTGACTGGCTGTCCCGCCCCACAGCCTCCAGGCACGCGCCGCGGAAGCCCCGGCTGGCACTCACCGCGCGGCGGGCGGCGGCCGCCCAGTACGAGTAGGCACCCTCGGAGGAGGCGAGCGGCCAAGTCTGGAACACTAGGGGCGCGGGGGCAGCGGAGGCGACTCCGCGGCTACTTGGCGACTCGGGGCAGGGCGCGGCGCGAGGCTGGAGGACGGTCAGCTGACGCGTCCACCCGCGGTGTCCTCCCGAAAAAACACTCGCACGTGCCCAGATAAAGGCGCCGCGTGCGCCCTACTGGAGCCGCCACGACCCCGCGGGCTGAGTGTCGCGAAGCAACACGTCCCTCTTGGCTGTCAACAGTAGGATTTTACAGCAAAACTGCTGCCTTTCTTTGCAGCATTCTTTCTTGTTTATGGAAGCAGTTCTGAGCCTTTTTACGGTCCTGAAGCCCTTTGAGTTATGGAAGTCAGCTATGGAGCCCCCAGGTCCACCCAAATACGTAACCATAAAAATGTACATGAAGCTTATTTTGTAACGTTGGAAACTGATTTACTTAAATTAGGCAACTATTTAAATGAACTGTGCCCTTGTCATTTTTTTCTGAAAAAAATTAGTGGCTGGCTCCTGAAAAAAATTAAAAAATATATAATATGCAAATAAAAACCGCGACGTTAGTTCAGTTTTCCAATAATACTTGACTTGAATTCAGATCTTGCCATTACCTTTTCACTCAAGTCACCAATAGTGTTTCTGCATTTCATTTCAATGAAGTCTGAGCTCTTGAGATTTATGAATTTTTTTGTATGGAAAATATCTGAAGACGTTTGAACTTGAAAGAATGTGGAGTGGATTTCAAAGGAGGTAAAGCAAGGAGTTAAGGCCATTTTACTAATCAAGGACAGTTACCATGAACCTGAAATGGTAGAAGTGAAAAAGAGGCATTTTGTGTTAGAAATCAACTACTAACTAACTGAAAGTAGAACATAAAGAGGAAGTTTTTTGCTTTTTTTTTTAATTGTACTTTAGGTTCTGGGGTACATGTGCAGATCATGCAGGATTGTTGCATAGGTACATACACAGCAATGTGGTTTGCTGCCTCCATCCCCCCGTCACCTATATATGGCATGTCTCCCCATGTTATCCCTCCCCTACCTCCCCACTCCCCGGCTGACCCTCCCCTAGCCTTCCCCCAACAGACCCCAGTGTGTGATGCTCCCCTTCCTGTGTCTACCTGTTCTCCTTGTTCAACACCCTCCTATGAGTGAGAACAAGTGGTGTTTGATTTTCTGTTCTTGTGTCAGTTTGCTGAGAATGATGGTTTACAGATTCATCCATGTCCCTACAAAGACCACGAATTCATTGTTTTTTTATGGCTGCATAGCATTCCATTGTGCATATATGCCACATTTTCCTTGTCCAGTCTATCATCGATGGGCATTTGGGTTGGTTCCAGGTCTTTGCTATTGTAAACAGTGCTGCAATGAACATTCGTGTGCACGTGTCCTTATAGTAGAGCGATTTGTAATCCTTTGGGTGTATACCCAGTAATGGGATTGCTGGGTCAGATGGAATTTCTATTTCTAGGTCCTTGAAGGATTGCCACACTTTCTTCCACAATGGTTGAACTAATTTACACTCCCACCAACAGTGTAAAAGTGTCCCTGTTTCTCTACATCCTCTCCAGCATCTGTTGTCTCCAGATTTTTAAATGATCGCTATTCTCACTGGCATGAGATGGTATCTCAATGTGGTTTTGATTTACATTTCTCTAATGACCAGTGATGATGACCATTTTTTCATATATTTGTTGGCCTCATATATGTCTTCTTTTGAAAAGTGTCTATTCATATCCTTTGCCTGCTTTTGAGTGGCTTTGTTTGTTTTTTTCTTGTAAATCTGTTTTAGTTCTTTGTACATTCTTGATATTAGCCCTTTATCAGATGGGTAGATTGCAAAAATTTTTTCCCATTCTGTTGGTTGCCAGTTAACTCTAATGATTGTTTCTTTTGCTGTACAGAAGCTCTGGAGTTTAATTAGGTCCCATTTGTCTATTTTGGCTTTTGTTGCCAATGCTTTTGGTGTTTTAATCATGAAGTCTTTGCCTATGCCTATGTCCTGAATGTTTTTGCCTAGGTTTTCTTCTAGGGTTTTTATGGTGTTAGGTCTTATGTTTAAGTCTTTAATCCATCTGGAGTTAATTTTAGTGTAAGGTGTCAGGAAGGGGTACAGTTTCTGCTTTCTGCACATGGCTAGCCAGTTTTCCTGACACCATTTATTAAACAGGGAATCCTTTCCCCATTGCTTGTTTTTGTGAGGTTTGTCAAAGATCAGATGGTTGTAGACGTGTGGCATTGCCTCTGAGGCCTCTGTTCTGTTCCATTGGCCTATATTTCTGTTTTGGTACCAATACCATGCTGTTTTGATGACTGTAGCCTTGTAGTATAGTTTGAAGTCAGGTAGTATGATGCCTTCAGCTTTGTTCTTTTTGCTTAGAATTGTCTCGGCTATGCAGGCTCTCTTTTTGGTTCCATATGAAGCTTAGGGTGTTTTTTTCCAGTTCTGTGAAGAAGTTCATTGGTAGCTTGATGGAGATAGTGTTGAATCTATAAATTGCTTTGAGCAATATGGCCATTTTCACGATATTTATTCTTCCAAACCATGAGCATGGAATGTTTCTCCATCTGTTTGTTTCCTTTCTTATTTCCTTGAGCAGTTGTTTGTAGTTCTCCTTGGAGAGGTCCTTTACATCCTTTGTTAGTTGTATTCCTAGTATTTTACTCTCTTTGTAGCAATTGTGAATGGGAGTTCGCTCATGATTTGGCTCTCTGTTAGTCTGTTATTGGTGTATAGGAATGCTTGTGATTTCTGCACATTGATTTTGTATCCTGAGACTTTGCTAAAGTTGCTTATCATTTTAAGGAGATTTTGAGCTGAGATGATAGGTTCTTCTAAATATACAATCATGTCCTCTGCAAATAGAGACAATTTGACTTCCTCCTTTCCTAATTGAATATGCTCTTTTTTTTTTTTTTCTTGCCTAATTGCTCTGGCTAGAACTTCCAATACTGTATTGAATAGAAGTGGAGAGAGAGGACATCCTTGTCTAGTGCCAGATTTCAAAGGGAATGCTTCTTGTTTTTGCCCATTCAGTATGATATTAGCTGTAGGTTTGTCATAAATTGCTTTTATTATTTTGAGATACGTTCCTTCAATACCTAGTTTATTGAGAGTTTTTAGCATAAAGCGCTGTTGAATTTTGTCAAAGGCCTTTTCTGCATCTATTGAGATGATCATGTGGTTTTTGTCTTTGGTTCTTTTACTGTGGTGGATTACATTTATAGACTTGCATATATTGAACCAGCCTTGCATCCCTGGGATGAAGCCTACTTGATCATGATGAATAAACTTTTTGATGTGCTGTTGCAATTGGTTTGCCAGTATTTCATTGAAGAGTTTTGCATCTGTGTTCATCATGGATATTGGCCTGAAGTTTTCTTTTCTTGTTGAGTCTCTGCCAGGTTTTGGTATCAGGATGATGTTGGTCTCATAAAATGATTTGGGAAAGATTCCCTCTTTTTGTTTTCTTTGGAATAGTTTCAGAGGAAATGGTACCAGCTCCTCTTTGTATATCTGGTAGAATTCAGCTGTGAACCCGTCTGGACCTGGACTTTTTTTTTGGTTGGTAGGCTATTAATTGCTGCCTCAACTTCAGCCCTTGTTGTTAGTCTGTTCAAGGTTTCAACTTCTTCCTGGTTTAGGTTTGGGAGGGTGCAAGTGTCCAGGAATTTATTCATTTCTTCCAGGTTTACTGGTTTATGTACATAGAGTTGTTTGTAGTAATCTCTGTTGGCAGTTTGTATTTCTGTGGAATCGGTGGTGATATCCCCTTTATCTTTTTTTATTGCATCTATTTGATTCTTCTCCCTTTTCTCTTTTATTAATCTGGCTAGCAGTCTATTTTGTTGATCTTTTCAAAAAACCAGCTCCTGTTGATTTTTTGAAGGATTTTTTGTGTGTCTATCTCCTTCAGTTCTGCTCTGATCTTAGTTGTTTCTTGTCTTCTTCTAGCTTTCGTGTTTTTTTGATCTAGCTCTTTCAATTTTGGCAATACAGTGTCAATTTTAGATCTTTCCTTGCCTCTCATGTGGGCATTTACTGTTATAAATTTCCCTCTAGACATTGCTTTAAATGTGTCCCAGAGATTCTGGTCCATTTTGTCTTAATTCTCATTGGTTTTGAAGAACATCTTTATCTCTGCCTTCATTTCATTGTTTATCCAGTCAACATTCAGGAGCCAGTTGTTCAGTTTTCATGAATTTGTGCATTTCTGAGTTAGTTTCTTAATCCTGAGTTCTAATTTGATTGCCCTGTAGTTTGAGAGACTGTCTGTTATCATTTCCATTCTTTTGCATTTGCTGAGGAGTGATTTACTTCCAATTATGTGGTCAATTTTAGAGTAGCCACAGTATGTTGCTGAGAAGAATGTATATTCTGTGGATTTGGGGTGGAGAATTCTGTAGATGTCTATTAGGTCCACTTGGTCCAGATCTGAGTTTAAGTCCTGGATTTCCTTGTTAATTTTCTGTCTTGTTGATCTGTCTAATATTGACAGTGGAGTGTTAAAGTCTCCCCCTATTATTGTGTGGGAGTCTAAGTCTCTTTGTAAGTCATTAAGAACTTGCTTTGTGTATCTGGGTGCTCCTGTAATGGGTGTATATATATTTAGGATCGTTAGCTCTTCTTGTTGGATTAATCCTTTTACCATTATGTAATGCCCTTCTTTGTTTCTTTTAATCTTTGTTGGTTTAAAGTCCATTTTATCAGAGACTAGGATTGCAACTCCTGCTTTTTTTGCTCTCCATTGCTTGGTAAATCTTCCTCCATCCCTTTATTTTTCACTTATGTGTGTCCTTGCATGTGAGATGGGTTTCCTGAGTACAGAACACCAATGGGTCTTGACTTTTCATCCAATTTGCCTGTTCATGTCTTTTGATTGGGGCATTCAGCCCATTTATATTTAAGGTTAATACTGTTATGTGTGAATTTGATCCTGCCATTTTGATGCTAACTGGATGTTTTGCCCATTAGTTCATACATTTTCTTCATTGTGTTGATGCTCTTTACCATTTGGTATGTTTTTGGAGTTGTTGGCAATGCTTGTTCCTTTCCTTGTTTAGTGCTTCTTTCAGGAGCTCTTGTAAGGCAAGCCTCATGGTGATGAAATCTCTCAGCGATTGCTTGTCTGTAACGGATTTTATTTCTCCCTCACTTATGAAGCTTAGTTTGACTGGATATGAAATTCTAGGTTGCAAGTTCTTTTCTTTAAGGATGTTGAATATTGGCCCCCACTCTCTTCTGGCTTGTAGGGTTTCTGCCAAGAGATCTGCTGTGAGTCTGATGGGCTTCCCTTTGTGGGTAACCCAACCTTTCTCTCTGGCTGCCCTTAGCATTTTTTTCCTTCATTTCAACCCTGGTGAATCTGATGATTATGTGTCTTGGGGTTGCTCTTCTTGAGGAATATCTTTGTGGTGTTCTCTGTGTTTCCTGGACTTGAATGGTGGCCTGCCTTTCTAGGTTGGGGAAGTTCTCCTGGATAATATCCTGAAGAATGTTTTCCAGCTTAGATTCATTTGCTCCATCACATTCAGGTACACCTATCAAACATAGATTAGGTCTTTTCACATAAACCCATATTTCTGGGAGCCTTTGTTCATTTCTTTTCACTCTTCTTTCTCTAATCTTGCCTTCTCATTGAGTTGATCTTCAGTCTATGATATCCTTTCTTCTACCTGGTTGATTCAGCCATTGAAACTTGTGTATGTTTTGCAAAGTTCTTGTGCTATGTTTTTCAGCTCCATCAAGTCATTTATATTCTTCTCTAAGC